AAAGTAGTATTGGGAAGTGCTTTGTGCAAGCTTTGTAGTACAAAGTAATACTTGAAAGTGCTTTGTGCAAGCTTTGTAGTACAAAGTAGTACTGGGAAATGCTTTTTGCAAGCTGCGTAGTACACAGTAGTACTCGGAAGTAGTTTGTGCAAGCTTTGTAGTACAAAGTAGTACTGGGAAGTGCTTTGTGCAAGCTTTGAGGTACAAAGTAGTACTGGGAAGTGCTTTGTGCAAGCTTTGTAGTACAAAGTATCACTGGGAAGTAGTTTGTGCAAGCTTTGTAGTACAAAGTAGTACTGGGAAGTATGTTGTGCAAGCTTTGTAGTACAAAGTAGTACTGGGAAGTATGTTGTGCAATCTTTGTAGTGCAAAGTATTTTGTAAAGACTCTTCTGTGTAAACGCATCTATGTCTCAAGCTTTCTGACGTGCAGAAGAGCCGAGATGAGTTGAGACTAGCGCCGGTGAGATGAGAAAGTTTGAGCTGCGCTTACATGACATGAAAATAGCCAAGAAGAACTTAGCTGACATACTGGGCGGACGTCGTTTCTTACCCCAGGCACCCAGAAGCTACCCCATCCCCATGGCACACAGGGTTACCCCAGGCAAACCGGAAGTTACCCCAGGGACCAAATCCTATTGGCACACTGGTACCACGCCATCGTTGGTTTGGCAAACAAAGTAGTTAAAATGTGTCCGTGCCATTGCGAAACACATATTTAATACCATCTCCTTCGGTGATAAAACCATGTTGAAAGTTGGCAACCGCCACTGGCACACACGCATTGACAGCAAAACAGCTGCTTTCCATCCAAATGAGAAAAGAAGCCAATTCTGCAGCACACGCCCCGTTTTCTTGTCATGACTCTGGACATGGATTGGTTTGATTTCGGTACTTTAATTATCTGTTTCCCAATGGCACACCTAGTGCGAAATAAGTCGTGCAAAGCATCTCTGACCCGAGCCCCGGTGTGCCGCATGGCACCTTGCTTACGCCAGACATCAATAATCTTCCGCCAGGTGGAAATCCCATTGGCACACCGACGGTCAAAGTGGACTAACTCTGAAAAGCAGGCAATACTATGCGTTTAATGTAAGCTTGTTAACCAAAAGTTGGCAACCATATTCCTGTTTGAACAGTCAGAACTATCATCCTCCACATGGCACACCAAGTTTCATGGCATTCCAACATACAAACTTGGATGTGATTGACGTCACATTCCTATGGTTTCTATGACAAATTCTACTTCATGCCAACCAACCCTTTCATCCACTTCCCCATGGCACAACGCTGATCGGATCGATTTTTTTTCAGGTAATATTCTTATGCTTTTGGTTTCTTCCGCACAGCTTCCAGCCCTTTCACAAATCTCTTCGTTCTCCTCTCAAAAACCGCGCCTTGCCCAGAAGCAGCAGCACAAGCAACAACAGCAGCAGCAGCAGCAGACTAAGCAGCAGACCAAGCAGCAGACCATTGCAAAGCCTTTCCAAAACCTCTCCGGGCTGGGTTTTGACTGGCTGCAATTTAAACGAGGTCCGAACGAGGTGCAAACGAGGTCCAAACGAGGTCCGAAATCAAATTTTGGGAGACTGACCCCCCAAGTCTCCTGACATACTCTTTGGTAGCCACACGCTTTCGCATTCTTTTCAGAACAGTAAAACTCAAGAGCTTTCAGCGGTGGAGCAGAAGAGGAAACCAAGCCAAGCAGCAGCTGCAGGCAAGAGCAAAAGGAGACAGAAGAGGAGACAAAGGGCGAGTAAGGGAGACAGAGGGGAGACAAAGGGACCGTGATAGCCAGGAAAGCATCGTGTGCCTATGCGAAGTGCCAAAAAATACATCAGTAAGTTAAAGTCATAGGCGCTGCCCATGTGGGCCTCTCCCCATTCCCCCTAGGCACACCACGATTTGGCACAAGATCTTGTCATCGGCACTTGTTACAACATCGAACCAGCTCCCAAACTTGAACCCACTAGCACCAAATGGCAGGCACACCGATGTTGGCACAAGATCTGTTGTGCTGCACAAAATCATTGAAATACCCAGGGCCACACATTCTCTTTGACCGAGCATGCCACTGCGTTTGGATGTCTCAAGTATCAAACAAAGTATACTCATAATAAACAAACACGTTTATGACAACCAGTGTGCCCCTGCATTGTGTGCCCTGCAATGGACAAGCAAACAATAAGAAGGTTTATGACTACAAATGGTAGATTATGTAGATTCATGTAGGTGAAGTTCAGCGTGCCTATGCGTTTTGTGGTCTTACAATAAGGGATGATCCAATGGAATAATAATATCATATATATATCCTTTATACACACTTCCCCACGGCACACCGACCTGAGACAACTTCAGGGGAGCCGAGACAAGAAACAACATGAACCCAGTATGGGAAGACATGAAATGAGATGAGAAGAGCTCAGATGAGATGAGTTGAGATGAAGTGCAAGTGTGAAGTGCAAGTGTGAAGTGTGAAGAGTGCAGTGTGAAGTGTGAGGAAAGTGCTTGCTTGGCGTTGATGCGCAGGTCATGTTTTTGGACAACAACACTGCAACAGCACAGCTTCGCACAAAGCACGCACGCACGGGCCTGGCTGGCGCACGGCGCATGCAAGTTCCTTGATAGTAGTACTGGGAAGTGATTCATGAAAGCTTAGATGACATATGAGAAGAGATGAGATGAGAAGAGATGAGCTGGGATAAGGTGAGAAGAGCTCAGATGAGATGAAGTGTGGAGTGTGAAGAGTGCAGTGTGAAGTGTGGGGCGTGAAGAGTGCAGTGTGAAGTTTGGAGTGTGAAGTGTGAAGTGTGGAGTGTGAAGTGTGAAGTGTGGAGTGTGAAGAAAGCAGTGAGAAGTGAGAAGTGTGGACTGTGAAGTGTGGAGTGTGAAGTGTAGAGTGTGGAGTGCAAAGAGTGCAGTGTGAAGTGTGACGTGTGGAGTGTGAAGTGTGAAGTGTGGAGTGTGAAGACTGCAGTGGGAAGTGTGAAGGGCGAAGTGGAGCTTCAAATGTGACATGTTTCGTAGAATGCACGCACGCACGGGCTTGGCTGGCGCACGGCCCATGCAAGTTCTATAGATGAGAAAGGTCGTATATATCCCTAAGGCAACTTCCGCCCCGCCTCGTGTGGGTACTACTGTTATGAAAAACCGAGCCAGCTACACATTGGAAATTGTTAAAATATTTTTTTTTTCATTTTTTTATCGTTTTGGTTATCATTTTATTTATCTTTTTTTTTCATTTATGTTTTCATTCCATTTTTTTTAATCATTTTATTTTTCATTTTTTTATCATTTTTTTATCATTTTATTTTTCATTTTTTTTCATTTTTTTTCATTTTTTTAATCATGTTTTTATCATTTTTGCTTCCAGTGGTGGAATTGATGAAAAATGATGAAAAATGATGGAAAATGATAAAAAAATGTTAAAAAAATGAAAAAAAATGAAAAAAAATGAAAAAAAAATGAAAAACAAACTCGAGGAAAATTGCAATTTTCCAAAAAATGAAAAATTGCAATTTTCCTCGAGTTTTTTTCATTTTTTTTCATTTTTTTTTCGTTTTTTTTCCATTTTTTTTCATTTTTTTATCATTTTTCATCATTTTTGCTTCCAGTGGTGCAAAAATTTTCCGAAAAATAAAAAAATGCAATTTTCCTCGAGTTTTTTTCATTTTTTTATCATTTTTTTATCATTTTTGCTTCCAGTGGTGGAATTGATGAAAAATGATGAAAAATGATGGAAAATGATAAAAAATTGAAAAAAAAATGAAAAAAATGAAAAAAAAACGAGGAAAATTGCAATTTTCCAAAAAATGAAAAATTGCAATTTTCCTCGGGTTTTTTTCATTTTTTTTTCATTTTTTTTCGTTTTTTTTCATTTTTTTTTCATTTTTTTTTATTTTTTTATCATTTTTTTTATCATTTTTCATCATTTTTGCTTCCAGTGGTGCAAAAATTTTCCGAAAAATAAAAAAATGCAATTTTCCTCGAGTTTTTTTCATTTTTTATCATTTTTTTTTATCATTTTTTTTATCATTTTTGCTTCCAGTGGTGGAATTGATGAAAAATGATGAAAAATGATGGAAAATGATAAAAAATGATAAAAAAATGAAAAAAAAACTCGAAAATTGCAATTTTCCAAAAAATGAAAAATTGCAATTTTCCTCGGGTTTTTTTCATTTTTTTCATTTTTTTCATGTTTTTTTCATTGTTTTTTTCATTTTTTTTCATTTTTTTTTCATTTTTTTCATTTTTTTATCATTTTTCATCATTTTTGCTTCCAGTGGTGCAAAAATTTTCCGAAAAATAAAAAAATGCAATTTTCCTCGAGTTTTTTTCATTTTTTTCATTTTTTTATTATTTTTTATCATTTTTTATAATTTTTCATCATTTTTTATCATTTTTCATCAATTCCACCACCGGAAGCAAAAATGATAAAAAAATGAAAAAAAAATGAAAAAAACGAGGAAAATTGCAATTTTCCATTTTTTGGATTTTTTTTTGCACCACTGGAAGAAAAAATGATTAAAAAAATGATAAAAAAATGATAAAAAAATGAAAAATAAAATGATAAAAAATGATTAAAAAAATGATAAAAAAATGAAAAATAAAATGATAAAAAAAAATGAATGAAAACATAAATGAAAAAAATGATAAATAAAATGATAACCAAAACGATAAAAAAATGAAAAAAATATTTTGACCTGGCCCAGTCTGTGGCTGCAAGTTTTTCATAATACTACTGGTATACAGCATACATTTTACATACATATACAACCGTATACATACCTTTAAAATACTTCAACCAACTATGACTATGACTATGACCCTATACAACTCAAATAGAATCAATTAGATACAGTCCGTACTTCGAGTCGTACTCAGCTGCAGGAAAAGAATGACAGGGCACGGCCTAACGTGAATCCTGATTACAAGGCATAATGCAGCACAATAAGGCACACTATGGCAAAATATGAAAGAACCGAATCTGCATGGGCGACATTTTTTGGCCAAACGGGAAGTCTTTGACGGCTATGACAATCTGCTTCGTACTGGTTTGATCCCAACAGGATGTGACAGGGACATTCCCCGGCCACTTCACTGCATCTCCTGCCAGCTGTGACCACAAAGCCGACCCAATTGGATCTCCCGTGAGGTCTGCGCGGGCAGGATTGTTTAACCTGTGGCTGATGCAAGAATCACACCAAATTCTTGTGAATAACAAATTAGCTGAGCTATCAGCCTCATTTGGTCATGTTATCGGCAAGCCATTTGATGGCCTGGGCAGAGATGTCTGCTGTGGATGCCAAGCATTCCCCCCACACGCACACACACACACAAATAAATACACAATGCAGAATTTCACAGGGAAAACCAAGAAAACCAATAACTAGTCAGTGCTAAGAAATTACACCGGCAAGAGACACCAAAAAGTGTGAGGGGTAGGAAGTCAGTGTACCAGATACAAGCAACAGTAGCTGTGGAACAGTAACTGATGAGGTTAGACATTATGAGAACTGCAGCAGCAGGACCTTCTATGTAGATCTATACAGAGGAGCTCACAAGATCTTCATACAAGGAACTTGCTATGAGCATTCTAGAAGAACTTTCATACAAGCGCCAACGCAGAGGATTTTCAAGATCTTCAAGGTCTTAATGCAAGGACTTTTTGAGAAAGATTTCAACAGGATCTCCACAAGGTCTTCTCACAAGGACCTGTGCCAGATCCTGACAGGACACCAAGAGGATTTCACTAGGACCTTTTCAAGAGCTTCTCACCAGGACCTGCACAAGATCGTGCAAAAGGCCTCTGTGCCTTACCTTGACCAAGATCTTCATGCCACGACCCCAAGATCGTAATCAAAGGACCTGCTGCTTACACTTGATACAAGAACCTCCCAAGAACCTCCCAAGAGCCTCCCACAAGAGCTTTCATACAAGCACCTCTAAGACATGGCATCTGCAGACTCCTATGCAAGGACCTCTGAGAGAGAATCTCACCAGGATCTCCAGAAGATCTCGTGATAAGGACCGGTACAAGATCATGCAAGGACCTCTGACAGGATTCCATCAGGATCTTGACAACATCTTCTCACAAGGACCTCAACAAGACCCTAGGTTCGCTATTGTGGCAAAATTTTCCAAATTATTCTGAGCCCATGTATTGCTTGGAAGGCTCACTATTGTGGCAAGAAATCTTGGGGGAGCAATTTTGTTTGTCCCAAAAAATATTTGGCTGTTTGGGTTAAAAAAAACTGAACATGTTTTTCTGAAAAAAACCTTGCTTTTTTCCCTGTCCCAAAAGAATCAGACCGCTTTTAAAGAACAGTTTTTCCACCAATTTCCAAGGCACTGGGCCATGAGAGGGCCCAATTCACTTTAGCAAACTTTTCCAGAACTGATCCTGGAGCCAAGAGAAGAAAGGTAGGCCTTTTCCACAAGCAATTGCCAAATTCAAAGTTTAAACCTTTCCCAAGAGAATCAGACTGCTTATTAAACCCTTATTAAAGAACAATTTTTCCACAAATTTCCAAGGCACTGGGCCATGAGAGGGTCCAATTCACTTTAGTAGGTTTGTTCGCAGGGCTCACAATTGCAGCAAACTTTTCCAGAACTGATCCCGGAGCCAAGAAAAGAATGAAAAAACCTTCTACAAAAGCAACCTGTTTTCTTTCTCTTTCTCTTTCTCTTTCTCTTTCTCTTTCTCTTTCCCTTTCTCCTTTCCTTTCTCTTTTTTGTTCTCTTTCTCTTTCTCTTATCCTTTCTCTTTCTCTTCCTCTTCCTCTTCCTTTGTTTTCTTTCTCTTTCTCTAGTGCCCTTTCTCTTTTCTTTCTCTTTCTCTTTCTCTTATTGCATGGTTCATTAAGAAAAAAACTTGAGGTGGAAAAGGTAACGCAATCAACATTCTGCTACAAGTAACTACTACAAGTACTACAAGTTCATCGGCAAAAAATAATTAGATTTCAATTGTAGCCAATTGAAATCCTTACTTAAGTGCGGTTTTTTTCCTGGGAAGAATTTTTTGGCGCCCAAATTCAAAGAGGGTATAGGTATTGTTGGGGGGGGCCGCACACAAAACTGGACGAAACATTATTACGGACCTCTAAGACTGGACAATGAAACTCTTGCAAGATCTTCATAGAAGGGCCTTCCAGAGAACGCATAAAATGTCTTTACCAGGACGCACATGGACATCCCCGAAGAGGCTTTACAATGAAAATGTCCCAGACCAAGACCTTGAGAACCTCGCGGGGCAGACTTTGTGCGGGCCTGCGCGGTCGAAATACACACGGACACAAGAACCTTTTTTTATGAGAGAATTAAATGGAAAAATGGCGCGCACCAAGACCGGGACAACCCCGTTACCTGCGCAGTCGAGATGCACATGGACATGGACATGTCACAAAAGCCATTTTAGGCGAGAAAAATACCGCGCTTCAGGAAATGCACATGGACACGTCACAAGAGCCATTTTTCTGAAAATTAACAACAAAATGCCGCGCCCCAAAGTCGTGCGGGAGACTTTGCGCGAGCCGGCACAGTCGAAATGCATATATAGACAAGAAAAATGCCGGGGACCAGAGCACGTACCCTGATCTAACCCTGGCCTTAACTCCTACCGTAAGAACCCCTCAGTGTGGACACACTGTTCGGGGAAATATCGAAAAGGTTTGTCGCAGGACATGTTTGTTTCTACTGCCAATTTTCCCTGGCCATCTTGCATCATCTTGTTTGGTTCATGACAGGGTCCCCATATTTTGAGAAGGTGCTGCATGAGCGCGTCCAGTCATCTCAAACTATGAAGTTCATCGCGCTTTAATGCGCTTTATTGCGCTTCATGTCAAACCAGTTTCTACGAGTGTTTTTGTATAGCAACTACCCAGTATTGCTACTGCATGGTTCCAAACCGGTTCGACCTCATTACTGGGGATGTTGAAAAATTCTTTCTGAACCACAAAACCGAGTTATACACTGATAATTGCTGTAGTTTTATGTCTTTATCCAGATTGCCGGAAGAACTCCCCCAGGCCGTGGCAAAACTCGGTCAGCTGAGCGCCAGCAAGGTACTAGTATGAACTTAAAATGCACCTGCTCATATATTACATATGCGCATATACAAGTAAAGCCCGCACAAGGTGGGCGGGCGGAGATTTCCAGCAGGAAAAAGCGTCCTTTTAGTATAGGAGTGAAGGGCAACTTTGCCTGCGGGAGTGGGAATGAAACCTCAACTCTTCTTATCTCTATCTATCTATCTATCTATCTACCTATCTATCTGTCCAACCATCCATCTATCTATTCCTCTCTCTCTCTCTCTCACGCTCTCTCTCTCTCTCTCTCTCTCGCTCTCTCTCTCTCTCCTCTCTCTCTCTCTCTCTCTACCTCCTCTCTCCTCGTCTCTCTCTCTCTCTTTCTCTCTCTCTCTCTCTCTCTCTCTCTCTCTACCTCTATTTCCATCTCTTTCTGTATCTCTTTCTGTATCTCTTTCTGTACCTATCCCTCTATCTATCTGTCTGTCTATCTGTCTGTCTATCTGTCTATCTATCTGACGTCTGTCTATCTATCCGTCTATTTATTTCAAAGGCGAAACTTTCTCAAAACATGGAAGCTCACAGCTCCAAAACGAAGAAATTCTCCCAGACTTCCTCACAAAATCGAAGTTGACAACAGCAAAAACGAAGCAATTCCGCACGACTTTCTTCAAAAATAAAAGGTTGAGCAGAGCTGGCGGCAACGCGTTTTGCATTTTTTCCATGCCATCTGTCTAAAGTACTGCGCCTGCCATGAAAAAGTGAAGCCAGGTCATACGAAGGGCTGCACCTGCCTCGCGAAATCATATTTAACCTGAAAGATGCTCCAAAATGCAGCCCGTCTCGGGACATCAGCGCGCTGACCGATGAAGATGTCTCTCGTACTGCGCCTGCCATGCGACATGCATCTTTGCAGATCTTCTTCACTCCTGCCATCGTTTTTGCAACTGCCACAAGACCCTCACATTCGGCTCACTTTTGGCAAGGTGCAAAATCCATTGCGCGTGCCCCGGAAAATGATGGTTCAAACGTCCAAAAGTGGTCCGAACGCGGTGTGCTTTTATATATATATATATATATATCATTTTCACAATTTCACTTTGAAGCGTGCTTCGCGCCACAGCCGCGTGCACTTTTTGAACCGCTCAACTCCCAAAAGTAGTGAAGTGGTTTTTGGCATTTTGACTTCGAGATGTGCTTCGCGCCACAGAAGCGTGCGCTTTTTCAACAGCTCAACTTCCAAGAGTGCTCGGAACTTGAAATGCTTTTAACATTTAGGCTTGGACATGTGATTCTTGTTACAACGGCGTGCACTTTTTCGATCGCTTAGCTTCTCCGAGCTTGAGGCATTTTGACTTCGAAACGGACTTCGCGCCACAGACGCGTACAATTTTTGATCACTCATCGGACCAGATGGCTCTGCACCCGCCGCTTTAGCGAGCCTACTTTTCGACCCTGCGGAGCCCTAAATTTTGGAAAGGCACAGTGCTTCGCGACTTTTCTATACCTTTTCGCGTATGCTGATCTTCTTTCTACTCGCTCTCTCTCTCTCTCTCTCTCGCTCTTCTCTGCCTCTTTCTCTCCTGACTTTTCTCTTCTCTCACTCTTCTCACCACTGTATCTGTCATCATCTGTCCATAAGTCGGAAGTTTGACTTCTAAACTTCCTTCGATAATTACGTATATATTTAATGATGTTTAATCATCCAGAGAGGTTTGGAACCGTGAAGTCTGTAATAATTATGTATCACAGTTCCAAACCTCTCTTTCTGCTGGATTTGCCAAATAATGATGATCCTCAATTTGGGTGCGCTGTGGCTATTTCTTGTGTCGGAATCGACTTCTCCGTTTTTTGTTCTTGTTGCCGAAAGTGCTGTTTTGCAGTGTGGTATGAAGTTCTCAAGAATGGCTTCGCACCTGTTCAAGCTGTGAAAGTATTTCAGCATATAATATATATATATATATATTATTATATATTATATATAATATGTTTCAGTTTTAACATATTTAAACATTGGATGCCATAATGCAGTTGAACAAAAATCCTTGCATTGTCATATATGTTAGTGTCTCGCTTTGACTCTTGATACCATAGACCGATCATATACCGATCATCTATGCGCTTTCATCTGCTGGTGCCAAATCTTTCACAGCCGTTGATTGTTGTTTGTTGGGTTGATAGCCTCTGTACTGGTAGTCGCTGCCGCTACTTGTGTCACTGCGGGCTGCTACTGTCTCTGCTGCTTCTGGTGCTGCTACTGTTGCTTGCATGTCGCACTCAAGAATCCCAAACTGTTTCACTTGGCACGAACCTATTTTCAGTGGCAGATTCTCGGGTACTAAAAACAACTGTAAACTGTAGACACAACAAAATGCTATGAACATTCGGAGATGTGGTGTGCTCAATTGATTGGAGCCTCTTCAACACCATCACCTTTCAATGCATCGCAAGAGAACATTTGCCAGGGCCTCAGCACTTGATTCCTTCAAGATCTTCTTATCGGTGTTCAATTGCAGCGATCTGACTGTGAGAAATTCATGGAAATGTTTCCCATTTTTTCCAAATGATAGACCGATACATTACAGGACAGTGGATCTTCGGAGCCTATTTTGGTAACCCCTGGGCACTGAACCTGTCGGTGATCCGATCCAAGCCAAGAGCCTGCAGAGTTCAAGGCGAGCAAAATTATTGAATCTGTGGAAGTTCTGTGGAATTTTATCGCGTTTGGCGTTTGTTTGAGGCTCGACAAAGTTCTGGCAGAAACATTGTTTCATCATTTGGAATCCGGTAGAAGGTACGCGCACGAATGCTACTGGTACCAATGCTTGCGGGTGAGTATGGGCATGCATGAAGTGAAACCATGTGAAATCATGTGAACAAGTATTCAACGCCCACCTGCATTGTCTCCTGCGGAGGTGAAGCTGCTGGCTGATCAACTTTGTTGTTGAGAAACCTAAACAAATTTGAACGAGCTCAAAAGCGGCAAGCCAAGTGTGCTCGATTCATGTACAGTATAGTACCGCAACATCTCGCAACCTACTAGTGTATCTAGTAGTACTAGCAGCAGCTGTAGTCGTCTGAATTGGCAGGGGTAATCCGCGACAATTCAAGGTCCTGCTGAGACTCTCACAGGATTGGCATTTTTTTCTCCGTTATTCTGGGATCTGCCAACATGGTTTCAAGCTCGTCCTGGCTCAGCGGATGCAAGAGGCGTTCACAAAGGGCAGAACTAATGCTCTATCCAATCTATCCATTGACTACCCTGGTGGCTGCATTTCCATTGAACGATGCGCGCTGGTGGAACAATGCGGTGGTTGACAAGCTAGGATTGAATGCGAAAATATCGGCAAGTTTGGTTTCATGCAAAAAATGTCTCGAGGGCATTTCCGTAACAATTGGAATGAGGACTGTTCTAGTAGGCGCATGTAACTTGGTTTTCTCTTCTCCGCAAAAAAAAGCGATGGCATCGCGATGTCATGCGGTTGAATGAGTGTTGAATGATGTTGAATGCAAGATCATCTCATTTCAAGTCAGATCTCTAGCAAATCCGAGCCGTGGACTGCTCGCTTTCTATTTGCTGCCGCTCACTCGTTTCTTCTCTTGAATCTACATTCATCAAGCACTTTTCTGTGTGCGCAGCGTGTCCACGGAGGCAAACAGAAAGTCAACAGACTTCAAGTTGATGAGCTCTGCTAAGTGCTACCAGTACTTACAATCTTGCATGTGAAGAAATGGAACGTGCGCTGCGCATGTTAAAGCAATGTCATATCCTGCGACACGTGAAGGAATTCTGAAGGTTTCAGGAATTCTTCCCAAGCTTGCAACCACCCATCAGATTCTCCCTAGATTGAACAGCATCAATATCCTCTAGTTGTCTCTGGGAATGAACAGCTATATACATAATTCATGTGGATATATATAACATGTATGATTCTGTATGATTATTCATAAAATCTCATAAACTATACTTAGTAGGAGCGGAGTGAGTGAAGCAATTCTCTGTGGCACCCTTGGGACATGCCCGCTATTTTTCGAATATTCCAGCTCCTGCTGCACTCCAACCTCACACAGCGCCATGTCCCAACAAGACACTGAACCTTGACCACTGCAAAACGTAGCTTGTCCGTGGAGTCAATCACCACAATGATGCCCTCGACCTCACCTGAGAAATGGTCAGCCGGTCAGCCTCTGAAGCAAGTGCTCCGGCGAACGGGGCACACATAACAAATGCAACCGAGCTGAGGATGCTTCCGTAGTAGTGCTCCCAAAGATTCCTATATCGGCTTTGTCCAGACCTCTAACCGTGCACGTTGCAAGTAAGTCTGGCGATGTGCAGCATCCTGACCAACCAACGAAACCATACATGTATGTATACACTGTATGTGTGTATCAGTACGTCAAGAATAATATTATACACATTCACATAGAAGTTAAGAATGCCCTGCCAAACAAGCAGGCGCTAAGAGCAGGGCATATCAATGGCACTGAAGTTGACTCCATGCTTTTGGAATTCCTCCCAGCGTGTTCTTGTGAATACTCATGTGTCCATTATGACAGCTGTGGCGGGCTCCTCAGTTGAGAAACCCACAGTTGGAACCTTGCAGCTTGGTAAAGCTTGGCGGATGCTCTTTGCAACTGAAAGCAAGGGCTCTTGGTCACACTCAGATCACTGAGGCTGTGACAGTTTCCAAAGACGCTTTCTTGGGCTTCAAGGCATTTAGGACCGTAGTTTTGCCTGTGCCGATGCCCCGCATACGTATACTTCGAGAAAATGTGCACAACATTCAACATATGCAGCACAACACATCACAACATCGAATGATAATGATATCAAATGCAATTTTCTCTTCACGGTGCTGAGCTCAAAACCGCTATTGTCTAGACCAACGACAACAATTCGAACCTGGCAAAAGTATCCAAAAGCCAAACCTTGCCACACAACAATTTGGATCTTTCGCATCATATCGTAACATTCCGTAACAACCCCGTAACATTCATACGTGGTCTGAACATGTCTGAACAGTCTGGATGGCCTTCCTCTTGGATCCAAATCCACCAAAAAGCCGTTTGAAAATGCCCATATGGAGGCCTGGGCCATATTCGAGCAAGAAATTGCAAACGCTAAGTTTACAAATGCAGAATCTGTCGGAGTATTAATCCTTGAAGGATGAGAGAACTGCAATCGTTGTGCCAAAAAAGTCGCCCCTAAGGTTTCTCACCTGGACTTGCAAATGAACCACTCACGACAAGCATCGACAAGCTATATCCATATGACTCTAATATAACATCATATAACATCATATAACATCATATAGCATATAACTATAACTATCATAATTAATACAGAACAGCAGCATACAGCAGCTATGAACGCGTTGCGTTGTGGAAGCTTCGGATCAAAATGATATCCCAAACTGAGTGCAGATCGGGCTCGGAGGGGATTTACCATAGAGCAGGTAGCTCGAGCCACCATTCAAAGATATCGAAATCATGTCTTCACCCCTACTGTACATGCACCTGATATTTATTGTATAGTTAAAAAAGATATGTGAAACTGTAAAACCATGTAAAACCCTTATCATTGTCAGTGTCCAACCACAATGTCCTCCCAGCCGCAAACCGGATAGGCCCGGATAGGTGGTACAATCGAGACTTCAGTCCCAGACCAAAACCCTAGCTTTGACTCCAGACATCTCCAGACTCCAGTATCAGGTCAGTATCACAAGAGTTTGCTACACGGTGCCAAGCTCATGGTGGCCTGGATTGTTCTGACATGTTCTGAGAGCGTTCACTTTTCTCCGCTAAACGGCGAAGGTTCAATATGGTTCAATATGGTTCAATTGTGAAACACTTGCAAATCAAACATCCGCTTCCAAGTGCCGTCGGGCTCACACACACAGTGTTCATTCAGGTACAAGTGTTCAAGCGTACAGGATGGGGAAGGTGTCCAAAGCCTTTCGAAGGTTTGGGTTCAAGTTTGAAATGTCTGATAAATTTGCCCATTTCTCAAACGTCTTAAACACCTGCACCTGCCCAGCACACTTACACAGGCGAAATCTGGCGAATACGAGCGCACGAGAGCTCAGGTGAAGAGCGACATCTTGCCTGGGAAACAGAAGAAACTCATGGCAGTGAGAGTTCCAAAAGAGCTAAAGGATGCTAAAGGCATGGGCGCACTGGCCCAAGGTCTTACCATCTTACCATATCTTACACACATCTACACGCCGTCTCATGCCTGTAGACATGCACAAAACTCGGCAAAAGACTTTTCACTCCCCAAGTTTGGCTTAAGAGGGATTGTATCTAGTTGACTTGCCCGTCTTCAGAATAGCCTAGCATGACCGACCTTTGGCAAGGCACAAGCACATGCCTTTTGCAAGAAGAGTTTCCATCTGGTTCTATGGACCAGATCATGCTCCGCCACTTTTTTGCAAAACAAATCTCCGCTTAATCACGTGGATTCATCTTGACCATGCTTGGATCATACTTGAACGATCAATGCCTATAAAAAATGAAACTGCCTGAAACAAAGTATAGCCTTGCCTCCAGCATGTACTCTTACACACTGGTATGGAGATGTACGGAGCAGTGAGCATGACCAATCACTTCTCCAGCCCCATCAAAGGCAAATCAGTAGGCAAATTCTGTGGAGAGCTTATGCTCAATCCGTTACAAAAGAAACAAATAGCAGCAATGAAAAAAACAATGGCCAAAATCGGAGCAAGAGATGCGCTTCGGATATTCTCTCCGATTGAGTTCTTGACCGAGTTCATGCGTGAGAAAACACGCTGCAGTCGAGGATCCTTTTCGATCAGTCTCTCGGCGGCATTTGCTTCAGAATCCGACCAGCTTCCAGCTTCTTTGAATGATTCCGAAGCCAAGAAATTGATCACTCTTGCCCGGCCCTCAGGCATGCTGATGTTCGAAGCTGTCACCACGTCATTAGAAAATATCACGTTCCAGCTCAACGAATCATCCATGATCTTGGCGAATTCTGTCTGGGCAAGCCCGCGGACACAAGGCCGCCAGTCCCCACCTTGATCCCGATCCATTAAAAATGATGCGATCTCATCAGGTTTCAGAGCACCACCTCTGGCAGCAAGGCAGGGTATCAAAAATACAATTCGAAATACAGTAATTCGAATACAATATATTCAGACACATTTACATAATATATTTGCTGACTAAGATCGGGTTATTATGGTTTATTTATAGCAATTTCGAATACTCTGTGGACTTTGTGGGACATCCAAATCCACGAACTCTGGTGCTGCTGTTGGAACATCAAAGAGTGGGCGAAAAGTATGAGAACGGCAAAAATAAAAAGTATTCAAAAGATTTGAAATTGAAAGGATTTGAAAAGCATTGGAAAGTGCTATCAGCAAAGCAAGCTGCCCACTTCTTTCACGTTGCGCTTAAAGTCTTCAGGAGCATCTGGTGGCAGTTCTCCTGCTTGGCTGGCAGCCGAAAACTGATAGAGGGACATAAACCACGCCCGAAGGACTGCATCCAAGGAGGTGGTTCCCAGCTCTTTCACATCTTCCATCTTATCCAGCACTTCAAACAGGGGAGCACCTTCTGGACCATAGAGCAATTTCGCGGGGCGAAGCTCTGCTTCCGAATAAGCTGTGAAATCAATAGAACCAGTAGGAGAACCGGAAGTACCAACAACTTCAGGCTCCAGCACAGTTGTAACTTCCACCGCGCCTCAAAAGAGCACATGCTGACTCTCTGGACCATGAAACAACATCAAACAACACCAGAAAACACCAAACAACCAAGAAGTTCTGAAGAAGTTCTGCTCCTTTCAATTTTTGCTCTGACTTTTCCAAGTTTCTCCCTTACCTTCAGTCATGATTGCCATGCGAATCCAAATCTGTCTACTAGCAAAACGGGTAGATCGGTATAGAATGGTAAAGAGCTTTTATCATGATTGTGTGTATCTGCGAATCTTGGGATGTGCGAGTTGGGCTTCCACAATTCCACAAGAACTGATGCAGCAACATCTGGCAACCACGATCCGCATCGATCCGGATCCGGATCCGCCGCCATGCGCCTGGTGCAGCTGCAACTGGTACTCCTCCGCCACCGCCTGGACCGCTTGGACCTGGACCGCTTGGACCGTCTGCTTTCGCAGCAGCCAACGCAGCCTTCGCTTCAGCTGCCGCAGCACGAGCCTGAGCCAACTCCAACTCCGCCTGCCCAAGGGCAACCATTTCTGTAACAACTTATGTAACAACGTAACTACCATATCAATTTCATTCAAAATCACAGAAATCACCATAGAACATGAAAAATCATGAGAGTTTCAGGATTTCATCAGCTTCATGAAAAAACAGACTGTGAGGATGTTACATTGGCTTCTACGTGTCAAATGTATTCAATGTAACATAAGTATACATACGTGTCTTATCATGTCTTATCAAGTCTTTAATAATTTTCAATATGTATTGTTCATTCTTGTTCATCTTGCTCTGTCATCAAGGGCCAGGTCAAAAGGATGCGTTTGGCATTTGCACCAGCCAGAAAGTACAGAAAGTACAGAAAGCACAAGTGCTAGGAGTTTGATTCACTGCCTGGTGGTTGGGAAGTTGTTATCATCTGTTATCCTTCTCAGCCATCTGTTATCCTTCTCAGACTAGCAAGCTTGGTTGGCCCAACTGTGTGTCAATGTTCGTGTTGGAACAGGCCTTTGCATGACATGTGTGTTAGCTGATAGCAGCTTGAGTGTTCTGGGTACTCTGGTGTAAAACATCTTGCTCTGATGCTGTGCAGATGATAATTACATTCCGATATCCTCAAGATTTAAGGACATTCTGCATTGGAGCAGCAATCTCCTACCAAGGCAGCAAAAGCATTGGAGGCAACCACCATGAGCACTCCAAAATAACTCGCATGCATACACGCCATCATGAGCGTCAATGCAAAAATGCAAGTGAGCGTGCGCAATGCCAGTACTGCCGATTAGGGGTTGATCTGAAGGCGACCGTCTTTTCGTGTTTTTTTCAGGGCACCTGTCAGTGACAACTGACAACTGAGATTCGGCTAAGTGGGAACCCATGAAAGCGGCGCCCTTCCGGAAAACTATGAACATGCGTTTGCTAAAAGATGTTGCCTTGCCAAATTTGAGGACACAATTTGCGAAGCGCCACGATTTTCTGCACCAGCCCTGAAGAAAGAAGAAGTCTGAAGATAGGTAGTTTTCCGTGCGGTGGTGCGGGAATCAAGGGTCAACAGTTTTTGGAATCCTCATGGATTCTCCACTGTTCTCTCACAAGCTCTTGTTTGTATATCTTATTGGGGTGTCTCCAGCATCTCCCATTGTGTCTGTCTTTCAAAGACGTCGAAAAAACATGCAAAAGGTGCATGAAGGAGAAATTTCAACGGGGCACGTCAAGACGTGCATGATACAGTGCAAACACGTGCGCGAGAACCGCCTTGAGCCTTTCCAGCTCTGCGGCCGAAACTTCCTTATCTTCTTCTTGGGCTTGCAAGTGAGGTTTGGCCCTGGCAACATGCTTCACCTTAGCAGACTTTCAGACAGTCAAAACAGGATATGAATAGAATTTGAATAGGCTGAAAGACTCTGAAACACCCAACATTTCTCGACAACACTCGATGTCTTTTCGCTAGCGACATGGGATGCAACCAAAAGGCTCCGTTGGGAACGAAAAGGACCAAAGGAACCACTGAGAAGATATACAGCCAACCTGACACTGCAGCAGTATATACTAACAGGATCTAACAGGTTTCTTTCTCAAACGATAGCAACACTAGTATGATCTAGCATGTATAATTATACGTATGTATAATATGTATATATAACATTGTAGTCGCGAATATAATATATAAATATATAACTACGTAGTATTAACTAGTAACAGAAAGCCCAGGCCTGAACCCCTGAACACTACGTTGCTGCGTTGGATCTGCTTTGCTGAGATCCTTTAAGATGACTAGGGTTCGAGGGATTGTCTTCCTTTGTCCAGCTTCTAATTCAATGAACTTCGATGCAAGTTGTATGGACGAAGTATATATCAAATGATACAGTGTGCAAGTTGCATACTATCTGAACTTCAGTTGGGGAGCAGAAGAGACCGATGGCTCGACGTTTGTCGCCAAGTTTTCTTTGTCTGGAATGCCTGCGAGAAAGGATTCAACTCATTTGCACTTCCTCTCATTTTCTTGTCTTATCTTTCTTACATGGCTGATGTTTCAGTCTACACTTCAAAGAGAACTTTTGACAATTTTATTTCATTTTATTTCAATATGGACCCTTTCGATAGCAGTCCGGCATGAAAACCTGCGTGCACGTGTCTGTGCGTTGCTTCAGGCATGATGTTCTGCATCGGATGTAGCCTGGATAGCAGGTTGCAAATACTGCGACCTTCCTTCGTTGGATATATACCCCTTTGGTACCAGGACCCGGTACAGCATCATATGTCATATTATATCGTATTATAATGTGTTATACTGTTATACCAGTAGTACCGCACAAGGCGGTGGCGGAAGTTTCAAAAATAGGAAACCTATAGGAGAGGTTGGCTGTTGTGAATCACGGATGGCAGAGCGAATCCATTGATGGACTGAAAGGTGTTTGGAGTTGTGTTTTGGAGTGGTTACAATGGTTGCAGTGGTCGCCTGGTCCGTCACCTCACCCACAACTGCTGCATGTAGTGTGGCGTAGTGCAGCTGTAGTTGTAGTTGTAGCGTAGTTGTAGTTGTAGTTGTAGCGTAGTGGAGTTGTAGTTGTGGTGTAGTGTAATTAGTGTAGCGCAGTGGTGGTGTCATGAGTGTAACTTAATGTAATGTAGGGTAGCGTAGTGTAGTGTAAAGTAGCGTTGTAGTTGTAGCTGTAGTTGTAGCTAGTGTAGCATACTGTAGTGTAGTGTGGTGTGGTCTAGTGTGGTGTGGTGTACTGTAGTGTAGTGTAATGTAAATAGTGTAGTGTAATGTAAGTAGTTGTAGTGTAAAGTAGCGTTGTAGTTGTAGCTGTAGTTGTAGTTCGTGTAGTATAGTGTAGTGTAGCGCGGTGTGGTCTAGTCTGGTGTGGTCTAGTGTGGTGTGGTGTACTGTAGTGCAGTGTAGTGTAGTGTAATGTGTGTAGTGTAGCGAAGTGTTATGTAGTGTAGTTGTAGTTGTAGCTGTAGTTGTAGCTGTAGTTAGCGCAGTGTAGTTGCAATTGTAGGCAGTGTAGTGTAGCATAGTGTAGTGCGGAGTGGAGTGGAGTGGAGTGTAGTCGAGTGTAATGTAGTGGAGTGGAGTGTAGTGTAGTGTAATTGAGTGCAATGCAGTGGAGCGCAGTGTAGTAGAGTGCAGTGGAGTGGAGCGTAGTGCAATGTAGTTAGTGTAGTGTAGTGCAACGTACTGTAGTTGCAGTTGTATATGTATTTGTAGTTGTAGTGTGCTGCAGTTTACTTAGTGTAGTGTAGTGTAATGTAGTGTAGTTGTAATTGTAGTTGTAGCTGTGGTAGTAGTTGTTGTGGTCGTAAGGTAATTGGTGTAGCGTAGTGCAATTAGATGTAGTTGGTTTAGTGATGTTTAGTGTAATATAGCAATTGTATTTGTAGTTGTAGTAGTAGTGTAGTGGTAGTGGTAGTTGTAGTTGCAGTTGTCTACTGGAAACGAAGCTATTTTGCGACACTCCCTCAGTTTTTGAACTTGACAACATCAAAAACGCAGCAATTCACCGAGACTTCCTCAATTTTGGAACTTGACACTTGACAACGTCAAAAACGAAGCAATTCTGCGAGACTTCCTCATTTTTTGAAGTTGACAACTTCAAAAACGAAAGAATTCTGCGAGACTTTCTTCAAAAATGGAAAGTTGAGTGCAGAACTGACGGTCTCGTACCCATGCGTTTTGCGATTTTCCACTCCACCTGTCTAAAGTACTGCGCCTGCCACGAAAAAGTGATGCCAGGTCATACGAAGTGCTGCACTTGTCACGCAAAATCATCTCAGCAAACCTGAGGATCTGATGCTCCAAAATGCAACCTCTCTCAGGAAATCAGCGCCCTCACCTCCTGACATCTCTGATGAACATGTTTCTTGTACTGCGCGACATGCATCTTTGCAGATCCTCTTCCAATGTCCCACGCCTGCCGTCGTTTGTGGAAATGCTACAAACAATTGAGGTTTTGCTCACTTTTGACAAGGTGCACAATCGGCGGGTGCGGAGCCAGCTGGCCAGATGAGAGATAAATGAGATAAGAAAATTGCACGCCGTTGTGGCGCGAAGCACATTTCGAAGTCAAATGTAATTACGTCAATTACGTACAAAACACCTCAGCTGCGGAGCACTTTTAGAAGTGCACGCCGTTGTGGCGCGAAGCACATTTGCAAGTGAAAAAGCTAAAAAACACTGCACGTTCGGAGCACTTTTTGAAGTTGCGATGTCGAAAAAGTGCACGCCGTTGTGGCGCGAAGCACGTTTCCAAGTGAAAATGTACAAAGCGCCTCCTGTTCGGACCACTTTTGGAAGCTGAGATGTCTAAAAAGTGCACGCCGTTGTGGCGCGAAGCACATTTCCAAGTGAAAACGCACAAAACGCCTCATGCTTTTTGACCCTCCGGAGCCACAAATCATTGGAAAAACACAGTGTTTCGCGACTTTCCTACCTTTTCGCGCACCTGGATCTTCTTTCTTCTGAGACTTTCTCTTTTGTGATCTTCTTTCTTCTTCTCTTCTCTTCTCTTCTCTGACTCTTCCCATCTCTGCTTTTCATCTGTCCATATTGTCGGAAGTTTGACTTCTAAACTTCCTTCGGTTATGCGAACACCTCTGAACAACACATATTGAATGTCGTTGAAGGCTTTTCTGGTTACATTCAAACTTCGATACGTTGCCACGATACGTTGCCATCGACCATCGCAGGTATTCCTTGTGCTCCATGGCTAGGCTTGTGCACAATCTTTTGATTGCAGGTGCAAGTCTCAAATGCTGAGCGTGTAAATAGGCTTGAAAACCTTGCTATGCTGTTTACCCGCAGTATGTTCTATATGTGACAAATGGTATCAAATTGTCACAAGCCACATATCACAAAGCAAACTCCACTTGAAGCTCCATGTTGCAACAAAGATGTGTCAAATTGCTGGTGTACATCTCAAGATCAGCACAAAACATGAGGGTGTACGATGCAGTTCTGTCCTGTCAGAATATCTCCATTTCGTTGCATGATATGCATGTTGAGTATATAAGCATTGAGGATCATTGAGGTATGTAGGAAATATGTCAATATATGTCAATATAAGGAAGCAGAAAGCGCCCACCTGCAACTGCACTCGACATCCGGTTGAGTTTCATCGATGGTGTGGAGGTTGGTGTTTGCGCCTCCAGGTGTTCCTGTCCATGTTGTCTGAAAGCAATGAATGCAATGAAAGCGGAGTTAGAAAAGTGAAGAATCTTGAAGATCGTCCTTCAGAACTTCACGCCCCAAAACGACCCAAAACAAACTATTTTGACCAGCTGGTCCTCCACATTGCCTGAGACGAGTGGATGCAAAGCAACACACAGTTCTACTCCCACACTTCCCTCGCAAATCTTGCAGCCGTCTGATCAAAAACATGTCAAAGACATTCAAAGACCATAAATAATTGGGAAATGATAGGGACATACAGGAACATTATTTTTTTCAACATGCGAACTCTTGTGCCTTCTTCCTCGTCTAGCCCAAGGCCTTCCAAGTGTAAGATGCCGCAAGATTATTCGCCCATCAAGTTCATAACCTTCATAAGGCTTTCATGATGGTATCAGCTTCTTTGTGTAGACTGTTCTATACTCGTTTCATCTCATTTGCTTGTGTCTGTTCCAGTTCCAATTCTCAGAGCGTAGCTGTTCTCCCAGGCGCAAATGTCGTCTAGACCTAGGTGCTTTTCAAACATGTTTGAACATGTTCAAACAAGATTGGGTTGAGTTGTCCACTTGAAATAAAGGGAATCTAATCAAAGTGTCTTGAGGCACAGCATTCTTCCCAATCGCCCTCTACGACATTTTCAAGTGCTTTCCTGGCACAAGCTCCAGCTCGAGGATGCCAATGTTTTGCCCTCCAGTTTTTTGTCCCCTGGTGAACTGGGGGAGTAGAATAGCACAGAAATTTCGGAAATTTCAATAATTTTCCCCTGCTGTTGGATCACTTCCAAAAAGTACTGGTAAGTGGGAAATTCTCATTGCCAGGTGGGTCTACCCGCTGAAGCCTTCGAGAAATGATACAAAGAGCAGCTTTCGATTTGTTCAAACCCACATGGCGGGCTTACACAACCTTCAGGAAGCCCTGACAAAGACGTGAGCCGGATCGAGATGTGATGTCTTGCTGGAGTCAGCCCGAACACTAAGAGTGCAACATTGTTCAACAAGTTCAACAATAATCCATTGATAGGATAGCTCCAACTTATCTGCCTGGAAGTTGACCGGTGCAGAATTGGAACCTGAGGCCAAGATGATCCAAGATGTATGAATAATATTGAATAATCATGAACATGTCTTGAGGGACAGCGATAATCGATTTGCTCAATAATGCTCAATAGATGGACTCTCCACTTGAGCTCAGTTTTGCACCCAAGGGGAAGAGAGCTTCACTCAGCTGGGTCCTAAGTCGGAGGCGAACAAGGGACCCCGCGCAAAGTGCCATACTCCGCGATACCTATCCTACATTGGAATATGGGAATAACATTGGGAAAATCTCAAAATGTGCCTAGGCTTGGAATCAACGACTGAGCTTCTGGCTGACTACACCATTTTGCTGTGGCTTTTCTCATTGCATTTGCTAGGGTCCTGACATGTCTGGCAGTGTCACATGAGGTCAATCCTGTAAATTTTGAAACGATTGCCTTCTCCTTCAAGTTCACAATTTCAGCTCAGCATGTTCAACTCATTTCGTAGACTTTTAAAACTTGATTCCCTTGCCAGGGGCTTTGCGGTTACGTGCTCTTGAAGAGCTGTTCAAATTCCCCCGAGGATGCTAACTTTGGCGAGTTCACCCTATTTGACATGCATACTGCCGTAGCCTGGGGGAATGCTGTTCACCTTATTCACTTTCAGAACTTCCCTGCTTGATCCTTTTTGCATCCTTTCTAAATTCGGTATTCACCTTCGTATTTCTTATATTGTCTTATCCTTCTTCCTTCATTTCCTTCCAAATTCCATCCTTTTTGCTTCATTTTTGCTCCTCTGCTCTTATTGCTAAGCACCGAACGCTTTTTGCACCGAGCCATGGCCTTCTTGATCCAGCGCCTTCAGCGCATTTTGATGCATTTTGGCCGGTACATGTGCCCTTGGATGCCCTTGGCCATTGCTGGTGCTGTGATGGTGATTCTGTCGATCCGTCTTCCTCATCCACCTTCAGAGTGCCTGGAAACCACTGTAGAGACGATCAGTTCTCTCCTTGGCCAAAATTCGCAAGCAGCACAAGCAAAACAAATCACAAGAACTTACGCCATCTTACATCTACACACGACCCCCAATTGTGGTATCCAAGTTATGACAGCATAGCAGGTGTAGTATGGCGTAGCATGTCGTAGCATGGCGTAGCACTGCGTCTAGGAGTAGCAATTGTTCGCAAATTAAATTCCAAAGCAACTTTCTGACACTTGGTGTCTGGCAGGTGAGTATCCCATAGTTATGCCTAGGTTGTGGCGCGTCTCGACCTCATCGATGAGCTTCCTGGCACGTGCTTTCAGTCTATTCAAATTCAAGTTTTTTGGCAGCCGTGGCTCTGATAACTTCCACCCACAGTATAGGCGGAAAACGTCGGAAACACAAGTTGCAAAGAGCTCACATTTAGGGTCACAGGACGTGTGTCTTGGATCACAATATAAACAACATGCTAGCCGATTGTCTCTTGGCAAGTAATCTAGCGACTCTATTCAAATACTCCTTGTAAAAAATTGTGTCCGTATTTTGGTTTCATTGTGATACGGTGGTACATTGTGGTACATGGTGGTACATGGTGGTACATGGAATTTTCAGACATTATCAGGATTTGTACAGCATTATTCAATTATCAGCTCTAATTATCAGGCTCTATCCAAACTATCCAGACTATGCAGGTACGTTTGGGATCTCTTGGGCGGCCCGACAGCAGGCGGAGGAAGGACATGAAGTTGACCTGTTTGTCCATGATCCAATTGCAAAGACATGCGAAGACCATAGTCTTTTCACCACGCTGCATACATCTGCATCAGTCATCATAAATCGGCATACATTGCATGGTTCAGGGTTGTTTGTTGTTTGTCAAATTGAGGAAGGTGTGTGTGTGTGTGCATGTGTGTGTGTGTGTCCTGAGGGGAAGCAAGGTTTGCCAATATCCTTTAGGCATCTTTAGGCATCCTTCAGCGAATCCTTCGGCGTCGAATGTCTTGGACTTCTTTCTGGAGTTTTCTGGGGGTCATGGAGGTCGCTTTTCGGCCAACTTGACTCGCTGACCTTGACATCTCTCTCACTGTCTACGCCACAAGCAGACAGCATCATGTTTACGCTGGACCTTGGGATCAAGGCTTTCCATGGCTTTTCAATGCTTTTCAGCTTGTCAAAAACCCGGCAACAAATGCAAAATGCAAAACATGTTGCAACATGTCAGAGCACCGCGGCACAGTTCCCCTCTGCTGATGGCTTTGAGTTGCAAACTGGGCTCTCCAAACGTTTCCCCGTAACAAATCCATTGCCTGAACAAGCCTGCAAGATCTGCAAGATCTGCAAGATCTGCAAGGACAATTCAAAGGAAAAAAAGAACTGATGTAATCGCCTGGAGAGTTCTCTGTCACCAAAGTCCTGAATATGTTCGACTCATATAAACTGAGTTGAATGCTCATCTCGCTCCAACATGTCAGACATATCCTCGGAACTGACAAGTAATTACTGATGATTGCCCAAGCAAAAGACAATCCAAAGCCAAGGATACCGTCGCTTTGTCGTTGAATCTGCCACAGCTCAACGTCCCATAATGTCCCTCATTTGCAAATGTTATCCAGACATATCCAGACCACCTCGTCAAATCGGTGGAATGCTTTTTTGAAGTCAATGTAGTCGTACTCAGTCCTCAGGCAATCTTGCAAAGCTTGACAAGTACAACCTGTTGCCATCTCTCAAGTTCGTTCGCCTCCCCTCAGATTGTGCGTGTCACAATGCGTGTCTCTTAGATTTTTGACCAGTGGTATCTGAGAAACTCTCAGCTTTCAAAGGAACCTCTGCCCTCAGGAGTGCACCATCCGCCATTTGTCAAAACATACTGGCGCTCTCGTTCTACTGCTGTCTCCTCGGACGGGATGAGAACCAGGCCAAAGGCTCTTTGCATTTAGCTTCGAACAGTAAGCAATATCAGGACCTTGAGGAGAGCATGAAGTCGTATCCCTCAGAAAAGAAAGGCAGGCGGCAGGCTGCTTCAATCTCCTTCAGTAAGAATCATTGTACAGTGTCTATTGATTTGATTTGCATGTATTGCATTGTATTTCCTCACCAGACGCAAGTTCATGTCCCTTCAGTGTCTCGATTCTGGAAACCGTTCTGAGCTCAAGACAGATATCAATGATTGGTGCTCGGCCAAGATACTTGCTACCCTGACCATCGCCTGCGATATTGTTCCGTTGACATCTGCTGACCAAAGACTCGGCGAAGATTGTTGGCAAGACATGGTCAACAAATTCAACAACTGGGTGGCAACTTCTTCTGGTTCTGCTTTGCTCCAACAAGGTGGGAGAGCAAAAGATTCCAAAAGGGGCCTTGATCAACTAGCTCTTGGACCTGAAACGGACAAGAGGAACAAAGGAATACATTGTACGATGTTGTAAGGATCTATGTGGAACGGAGGGAAAAGATCTGAAACATTTTGTAAATGTCGCCATGTGCGCTACAAGTATCTGGTTGGATATGGCAACGTTGGTACCCATTGCAAGTGGACTGATCGCTTGAACTGATTCTATGTACTGTAGCTTGCCTCCATCCTTTCTGCTTGTACCTGCGCCAGCAATATTCGAGACAATATAGACGTATGATATCGTATGATGACGTATTTGCATGTATATGTTGTATATGCCGTATTACTTTGTACTTTGTACTGTGGCTTGACGTGGGCAAATGAAGTTTCAACCTTTGCTAGCCATGTCATGGATTCCTGTCATTGGCCGGTCGCGCCTTGGAAATGAAGCCGCACACTCGAAAGAACGTACAAACCTTCCAGAATCAGAATCAAGCAAAAACAGGAACAAAAAGTCCCTAAAACATGGGAAAGAAATGGAAAGAATGCATATCGAAGCAACGTGATACTTTTCAGATCCGCCAAATCAAGGCTCGTGAGGGTCAAGGCCTCTCTGGCAGGAATGCAACAGTTCTGGTCAGTGTGATCGTCGATGATCTGAAGACACATGAAGAATATTGAAGAATCATGAAGATAAAGCACAAGTGGGTGCAACGTCGCACGCACATCACGGGCCTACTAGGAAAACACATTGTTAGACATTGCCAGACATTGTCACATGAAACTCGGCGGGAGCAAGGTCGGGAATCCCCAAAGCCAATAGTCTTAGAGTCTTAGCTGCGCGCCTTTCCCACCTTGTCCTTCTCAAGTTCCTTCAAAAAGTTCCTTTCAGTCCAAAGCAGCTAGCAGCTAAGCAGATGAAAATTGCGCAGTCCCTGTGTAGTCGAGTTCAGCTGTTTAGCTAAGGAGGGCGCACAACTTTCAAGAAATCCGGGAAAGAGATTGTGCCATCAGGACCTTGCATCATTTTGAGACATTGAAATACCATGATATACCCGTGTCTGGAGAAGTAACTGATTGTGCCTTTATGTGATCTTTTATGGAGCTACCCTCACTATTCAAATATCAGAAGCAGAAGTATCTGTATTGAGTAGTATTGAATGATTAGTGAAGAAATGTAAAAGAATCAAACCCAGAGAGAACAGGTAAATTTTCTGAGCTGGGGCTGGAGGGGCTGGGGCAGTTGCGCAAATGGTGTTGCAACATTGATCTCATCTGGACCACTTTGGCTTGACCTGGGGATGACTAGGCCAATGAGCGCCGGCTTGCGTTTTGATGAACTCGAGCCAGTGAAAACATAGCAGCTACAGCACTGTGTGTTTGACACAGCGAAATTGGCAGAGTTTCTGACTTTTGGGGACAAGGCCACTGTCCCGGAAAAGCAATAGCACCTGTCTGGCCAAATCAAAGATGTGCACCAACTCTCTGTGGACGATCGCCGCGGCCTGAGATTCCTGAACAAAACCTGAAGAACTCCCCCAGTAGCCCCGGCTGGGATTGTACCTTGCAGGCGCTGCAACAATGCACATGAAACACCAGGATAACATACATAAATTGGCATTCAATATATTGAAACACATTGAAACATTGAAATCGCAAGAGTAAAAGTAGTGTAGAAATATTTTATGCCAAATAGCGCGTGGCCGCGCCAGGGCGGAAGATTCAAGTCGAGAAAAAACAATGGTTATAAGATTTTATAAGATAAGAAATCAATAGCCTATTGGAATGTCTGTGAGACACAGAAACAATGAAATGGTGAGGGCGTGACGTGAGGTGCATCAACAAATGAGCAAATGCTTGTGTTGAGATGCTAACTGCTAACGAAATGGCATGAAAGAATTTGAACGAATCAACGCACGACTGACTGACTGACGGACTGGCTGACTGACTGCCTGACTGTCTGACTGACTGACTGAATGAATAAACGAATGAACGAATGAACGAAAGAACGAACGAATGAAAACGAACGAATGAACGAATGAACGAACGAACGAATGAACGAATGAACGAATGAATGAACGAATGAACGACTAAAATGGAATGAAATGAAATGAAGCGAAACTGAACTGAAATGAAATGAGATTGAAATGAATTGAATTGAGTTGAATTTAATTGAACTGAATTGAAATGAAATGAATGAATGAATGAATGAATGAATGACACACTGAAAGAACGAAGCAACGAATGGATGAGTGAGTTACTTCATTGTTGCGTTTCTTCTAGACTGAACCACATCTTCGCTGAGGTACCCGTTCTCTTAGCTATCTCTTCTCTGGGCAGCCTCTTGTCTGGGGCATACTTCTTCTCTGACCCGCTTCTGCTCTTAGCTGCCTCCCCTTTCAGCTACCCAGCTACCCCTTCTGCATATAGCTTCTGCAACCCAAGTCTTCTCTTCGTGCAGCTATGGCAATGCGTTTGCAACCTCCAATCCCGCATAGCACAAGAGTGGCACCATGCTCAAAAACTGCACTTCTTGCAGCTGTTACAAGTCTTTTAGCAACCTCCAGCTGCAATCCCGCATAGCAGAAGGGTCGCAGCATCACTGGTGCTTTCTCCTGCGCTCTGCCGTGCCAATGTGTTTCGTGACAGGAGCGTCACACCAAATCGACCAACGCGCGCAGCGCTGAAATGGGGACGACTTCTGCTCTGGCTCTAGCCTGCCCTTCAATTTTTTCTGGGGCATTTATTCGCGAAACCGAGCCCCCGCAGCTACAGTCTCGCGCACATTTTTACGACCTCATTTTCCAAAAGTGGCTTGCCCTTTTACCCAGAAGCATATTTTGGAACGAAATCGAATCAAGCTCTCGCTACAGTCTCGCGCGTTTTTTGGCGACAGCTCTTCCAGATCGAGGCCCGCAACCGCGGAAACACAGACCCTATCTTAGCAAAGCCACCGTACCATACCGTACCTGTAAAAACACAGGAATTCGCCCTTCTATCACTTCACCCGGGAACTCACACCCTCCCGGACTGTTACTCTCATCTACTGCCTCCACTTGCCAAATGCTCTTGCTGCCACTAGGATTGACAAGAGGACAAGACTCACCATGGACATTCGTCCGCAACGTGATGCAACATGGAAGTTTGCGAGCTAAACTATTTCAACTTCCTGATACATGCAATCGATATCAAATCAATACTTTTCTATCCTTTTTTAGTGAAAATATTCTGCGGCTACGACAGGACAGTCTCTGAGCTGCCTCAAGCATGCGCTAACTTCCACTGATGCAGGTCACTCATGAAATCGCAGGTGCCATTTCACCAAGTCATGCCTCTAGAGCTCCTTGCAATAACACTACGAGAATCAAATGAGGACATGAGCTGGCGGCCAGGATTTGGTTTGCCCTATGGGAAAATTTTCATGCTCCCCTAAGTGGGCCCCGCTGGGTTCTCTGAAGGCCATATGTGAGTAAACCGTTTGACCAATCAGCTGCATAGGCATACCCTGGTCTTAACTAATCGATAGAATCTTGGGTCAGTATCACAAGGAGCATTGTTCCCTGCAGATGTCCAGGACTCATGCTTTGAAGTCTTCTGGTCCACCGCTCCTGCTCTTCGTCCGAGAGAGCTAATCTGCTCACCAGGTCTTCTAGGCGAGAGACGCGCTCTTGTTCTGCAAGCTCCTCCATTTCAAGATCTCATTGCGGCAGGCATGCACTTTTCTTGCTAATGTCTTGAAACAACAAATGTGTTGCGTTGCACGTCACCTCCTAGCCTTCCAACAGCTGGCAGAGTGGTCAAAAGTCATCAGAAAACATTGCATGTCGGCCAAATTTGGGCAAATGGGCTAATCTGCAATCTGAGCAAAGCAGCTGTTTATCTTCCTTGCCTGCTGCAGGCACACAAATTCAGCAAAAGCATCTTCATCTAGCCTGGGACTGCTTTACAAGGGGCATCTTGCATGCATAAGAAATGCTCAGGATGAAAGCTGCAATTTTTTTGAGCTGCATTTTGCGGCAATTCTACCGATCATTGAGGAGTTGACGTCGCGAGGCCGGCTGACAGGAGCTTCTCACTTCGACCTGTCCTGGCAAAGAACAAATGTGTCTGCTCCTGATGTCAAAATCTTTCAAGCACCTTTGTCGTCCACTTTGTTAAACATCTTGACATTTGTTGACACTTCTTACAGTTCTTTATGTGTGCGAAGGTTGCAACGCGGCGTTCCAGGGCAGTGACTTTTGCGCGAAGCCTTTGAGTGCTGCTTTCAGTGCTTCCTGCGCAAGTCTGTGAGTGCTAAATAGTATATCTACATTACATCTTTCCATGCATAAAAACATATGTTTTTTGTGTGTTTGTTTTTATTTATTGTTTAATGTATAATAATGTATACATACATATAAATATATATATACATCTATAGGGTTTTGCATTTGAATAGCAAGCTAAGCACTTGAGGGACCTCATGCTCGAAGATCCAAATTCTTAACAATGAGTTCCTTGAAGCACGGAAATCAAATCGTGCACAGATGAGCGACCTAATCCCTTCCTCCTAATACTAAACGTCCCCCTAATACTAAAAACAGGCATCCATCTCCAATTTCCGAAAATTTCAGTTTGGCCAATTTGACTTTTAATTGATCCCCTTTAAAAAACAATTTAAAAATCAACCTACCATTTGTGGGTTCTCCCCCCTAATACTAAAAACTAGTTCACCCCGGGGTGTTTAGTATTAGGGGGGCCTAGTCCCAATCCCTCACTCCAAGCTGCCTGGCTACTCTAGCAATTAGGGGTAAGCTTCGAACTGCCATTTTTGGCAATATTTTAATTGCGTTATATAAGGAAATTTAATTGATTTTGAGATCGGAAAAAATAGTTTTTAGTATTAAGGGTTTTAATTTAGTATTAGGGGTAAGCTTCGAACTGCCATTTTTGGCAATATTTTAATTGCGTTATATAAGGAAATTTAATTGATTTTGAGATCGGAAAAAATAGTTTTTAGTATTAAGGGTTTTAATGCATGAATAACTAATTAACATGACTTCGATTTGGTTCCCTGATAATAAATACCCCCCTAATACTAAAAACTACCTGCCGTGTTTTGTATTAGGGTGGGGGGGGGGTTTAGTATTAGGAGGAAGGGATTACACTGTTTTAGCCCTTCCGTAGGGAAAAGTAGGCCAGGAGCCGCCTACACATGAGCCCTGCATAGCCGGGGCTGCTATGCTGGAATCAGGCTGCCACTGGCCCGTTACGGCAATGGAAGATCAAATCTTGCTTAGATGAGCGATCTAAGGTGTTTTTGGCGTTCCGCAGGGACTGATAGATGAGCCGGCTGCTATGCGGCAAAACCAAGCGATTGGCTTGTTACAGCCATGGAAGATCAAATCGTGCCCTGCGCTGTTTTTGGTCTTCCGTAACAGGAAAAGAAACAAGCCAGGAACTGCCCACAGATGATCCCTGCATAGCCGGGGGCTGCTATGCTAAGCCATGCCACTGGCCTGATATGGCCATGAAGGCCAAAATCTGCTTAGATGATCTAGGCTGTTTCTGGCGTTCCGTAGGGAAAGAAGAAAGACAGCTGAGTAGGTGGGGCTATGCTGGGCTATGCTGGACTCAGGCTGCAAAATCACAGTGCTGGTCGGTTAGAGCATGGAAGAACAAAGCGTGCATAGATGAGGAGCACATTCCAGCGAGATTTCTCTGAAATATTGATTTCAAAAATCATTGAATATGGAATATGATATGATCCACCCATATCTGAGGCAGGCCCACCCTGAGATTGGTACAAATATACACTAGTTAACACTAATTACAAAAATGACGGGCCCAGGGGGTTCAATCTCTCGGATTCTTATCCAACGCTAAGGCTGTGTATGTATGCATGATTGTGTGTATGTATGCATGCATGCATGTACGTTTGATTTAGATGTTCACAAAAATTATTCGGTATGATTGTATAAGTAAATGATATCAAAATATATTCAATGCGCAGTAGATACACATCGATATATTCTGATATCATGTGACATCCCACGGTTGTCCTCATAGACTTCAAATCCGTAAATGAGAAGGGACTTCATGATCTCTGAGATAGACAACTTGCTCCGCTCGAATGTGTCCAACTGGCAGCCGAAGCCCCAAAGTGTCTGATGGCAAGTTGGGAACTCAAACATGTCTTTATCTACATATATATATATATATATGATATATATATATATATGGCAAAATCTGGCAATTTCACAATGTCTAAGTCTAAGTCTACCAACCATTTTGAAAGTTGTTTCAGCCTTCTTGAACAGCTTTCCCAAATTTGGACGTCTTAACCTTGCAAGCTGCATCTTGACTCTCGATTTGATCATGCAGAGAAAGGAACACCGGTAGGCATCCAAGATCTTCCTACTTCCTTTGTGTCTTTTGGCCAAGCTCCGAACTCCTTCACTTTCTGTCTGATTGTTGGAACCACCTAGGGGACCAAACTACCAAACTGCTACACACAACTCAAACTTGAAGCCACGAGAGTATAGGTTCTCCATTGTCACTGTTACACACAATGAATGCGGGGGAGTCAATCTGTGTCGCTCCCAAGGACGGCTGGAAACGTCCTGACTGCCTCGTTGCAGTAATCATCGAGGGTGAATTGTAGCTTTTCAAAGTTCAGCAGAATACCAGACACCTTGCAGCGCTCAAGCCGCCCAGAGTCCTGTAGCCCGTAGAAAATCCATCACCACTGACGTCACTACTAGCGCTAGTAGTACCATTCCCCATGGATTCATGGCCTCTTCCCTCTCCAGCTCGTTTTTGGGAGTTAAACCAAGTCCTTCTAAAGAGTCCATGACTTCAGCCTCGTGCAGCAGCTGTTCAAATCTTCTCCGGTGCTATAGAAAACCTACAGAAACCTAAAGCCTATAGAATCTATAGAACATGAGCGGGAAATGTATGGAAATGTCATCAAATGCCGACAGTCGACAAAACAAAATGCTCAGCTGGGCCTGGTCAAGAAGTCCTGTTCCACTTATGTTGTACTTGGAAAAACACGACATCTGCACGACCTGTTTGGCACATGTTGGCACATTGTACAGAAATGTACAGAACAAGCTGCTGAACAATTGGCTCAGTGATGCTCAGTGTGTGCGGGGATGTATATAGCTGGCACTGGGCACTACTTCTGAAATTTGGCCGGACGGATCGAAGGGTCTCTCATCACGCTGTTATGCCTGCTCCTTCAATCCAGCCATAAAGCTCACTGAACCTGCATAGAGGCATGCACCTGACCATCAGCTCCACAATACATTCAAAGATATTCAAAGCTGGATTTTAAGACAGCCAAAGCCCATTCAGCTCAGCAGAGACAGCAAAGCAAAATAAAACCGAATACATTCTCAAGGCGATCTGAAACTTTCGGAAATCCTTGCCTGGACCTTGTGCTTTCACCGATTTAACCTCTGATACGTTTCTGACCATCAAGCCAAGTTTCCTCGAAGCAGCCACTGAATGCAAGTGCTGCAAGACAAAGCACATGCTCATTACAAATGTGCACGCTACATGATGGTTTGCTGCTCTCAAGTCTCAAGCAAATTCAACTGCATTCAACCGCCTCGTTCCACTTCCTGAGCCCTGAACCTGGTTCCTGATGCTTCTGACTCTTTTGAGTCTTTTGCCTTTGCACGTCATATCAGTCTGTGGGATTCTGTGGGTAGTGGCCTT